TGCGATTAACCTTCCTGCGTTTGAGTACAGACGGTTCGACACAGTACTGACTCACATTGTGTTCACAGAAGAGGGTATTAGAAATAAACTGTCTAAGCTAAAGGTCCATAAGAGTCCCGGCCCTGACATGGTACATCCTAGAGTGCTAAGAGAGTTGTGCAACGAGCTTGCCGAGACCCTGAAGATCCTGTTTTGTAAATGCCTGGACTGGATGAACAAAAGGTACCCAGTGAATGGAAAGTGGCTTGTGTGAATCCTATCTTCAAGAAGGGCGATCGTCACTCCACGAACAACTATAGACCGGTGAGCCTGACCAGCATAATATGTAAAGTACTTGAGAGTATTATCAGAGATGCCGCAATGGAACATCTACTACGAAACAACCTTGTAAAGGATTGCAACACGGTTTTATGCCGGGACGCTCCTGTTTAACACAATTGCTCAAGGTAATGGATATTTGGACCCATATTCTGGAACGGGGTGGTAATATCGACGATATTTACCTAGATTTTTCCAAGGCTTTCGTCAGTGTACCCCACGAAAAGCTGAAAATCAAACTGGAAGAGTAGGGAATTCGGGGAAATGTCCTAGCGTGGATAGACGACTTTCTGCATGACCGCAAGCAGTGTGTGGTGATTAATGGCACGAAATCATCATCCGCACCTCTCACAAGCGGGGTACCACAGGGCAGTGTATTGGGCCTGCTGTTGGTTGTTTGTTTCATAAATGACATGCCTAACGTTGTACACTCCTCCATACAAATGTTTGCCTATGACGCCAAGTTATTTCGGGAAATCAAGAACCAAGCGGACTGCGAAGAGCTGCAGAAGGACCTCTGTGGGCACCAAGAATGGTCGAAGAAATGGCTGCTGAGATTCAATGTCACGAAGTGTAAGAGCAGGGGTGTCAAACTCATGGCCCGCCGGCCAAACGTGGCCCTTGGGATGGTCAGGTGTGGCCCGTGGGATGACGGTAAAATTTATCATCCCGTGAAATTATGAAAGAAATAGATATAATCATGTTTATTTAGTAAAATGAATTTTACATACTTAAGATCAGACAAACCCAAATGAGGTATTCCTGGTAAGCCAGGTAAGGCAATGTGTGAAGATGTAAACTTCAATCCTGCAAATATGTGATATAGCACTTGTGTTGGCCCTGAAGAAGGTAACTAAAATAAGAATTGGCCCTCGAAAGGTTTTCAGTTTGACACCGCTGGTGTAAGACTTACATTTTTGGTGGTTTTGGGCCAAAAGTTAGATTTTGCAGAAAATCACAGTATGGATACAACTGAGCTTGCTGATTATGAATATGTGGTCCGATTCGGTTGCAGAGTAATTAGTGGCCAAAATGACCCTTGAAATATTTTACTGACATTTTTCAATGCTAATTACTCATCAACTATGGGTTTCCAAGGTTTGATTTAGGGTTTGTGTGTTAATCTGAAAGTACTTAATTAGTTAAACCCTTTAAATTTCAATTCTGAGAAAAAAGTATATTCTGGCCCAGGGACGGCGGCGCTCCCAGGGGCCATGCCAGGGGTGCTGGCGCCCTTAAGGCTTTCCAAGGGACAGTGGGGCTCCTAGAGGCCCTCCCAGGAAAGGCCGCGCCCCCAGGGACTCTCCCAAGGAAAGCGGCGCTTCCAGCTGCTCTCTCAAATACCATGGCGCCTACCATGAACCTTTCCTTGGGCGTCTGTCCCCCCAGGGACCCTTGCAGGGGCATTGGTGTCCCTAGTGACCCTCCGAGGTGCTACAGTGCCCACAGCGACGCTCCCACCGAAGGCGGCGATCACAGGAGCCCTCTCAATACGCCAGACCTGTAGGGCCCCTGGCTGCAGTAGTTTCTGTGCTATTTAGAACTCTGGACGATAAAACGTTAAGTAAATACAACGCCCATCACATTTCCAGTAGTATTACACCCTGAACAATGTAACGGAGAATAATATTCAACAGGAAAACATAAGTTGTGGTGTTGTGCTGACTCATTGATCTCTTCTCCTATTGGCTGTATGTTAAAACAATAGTCCACCAATCACTGTTCAGTTAGGGGCTGCTCGAAATATGTGATATATATGACATCAAGAATAATTGTGCCATAGGGCCCCTAGGGGCCCTTTGCAGGATCCTTGGGAGGGTTCCTGGAGGCGCTCCCGCCCCTAGGAGGGTCACTTTGGTCACCGATGCCCCTGGATGGGTCTTGGGGGCACCGACACCCCTAGGAGGGTCCCTGGGAGGAAACCTGGGAGCGCCACTGTCCCAGGGTGAGCCCCTGAGGGATCCAGCGCCTCTAGCAGGCCCCTGGTGGCGCCGCCGTCCCTGGTAGGGCCCCTGGGGGCACAGACATCCCTGGGAGGGCCCTTGGGTTTGCGTCTTTTTGTGGGAGAGTTCCTCAGGGCGCAAACACACCTGGTAGGACCTGGAAGGGTCCCTCGGAGCGCCACCGTCCTAAGAATAGTCCCTGTGGTCGCTGCCGCCCCTCTAGGGGGGTTCATGGGAGCTCCACCACCATTGTGAGGGTCTCTGTGGGCACCGCCATCCCTAGGAGGGCCTCTGGGAACGCCAGACCTGTAGGTCCCCTGGCTACAGTAGTTTTTGCGCTATTTAGAACTCTGGGCGATGAAACGTTAAATAAATACACCGCCCATCACATTTCCAGTACTTTTTCACCCCAAACAATGTAACGGAGAATAATATTCAACAGGAATACATAAGTTGTGGTGTTGTGCTGACTGACTGATCTCTTCTCCTATTGGCTGTATATTAAAACAATAGTCCACCAATCACAGTTCAGTAAGGGACTGCTGGAAATATGTGACATATATGACATATAGACCAGCTGTGCCATAGGAACCACAGGGGGCCCTTGGTAGGACCCTTGGGAGGGTTCCTGGAGGCACTCCAGCCCCTAGGAGGGTCACTTTGACACCGATGCCCCTGGATGGGTCTTGGGGGCACCGAGAACCCTGGGTGGGTCCCTGGGAGGAACCCTGGGAGTGCCACTGTCCCAGGGTGAGCCCCTGAGGGCTCCAGCGCCCCTAGCAAGCCCCTGGTGGCAACGCCGTCCCTGGAAGGGCCCCTGGGGGAACAGACATCCCTGAGAGGGCCCTTGGGTTTGTGTCTTTTTCTGGGAGAGCCCCTCATGGCGCCAACGCCCCTGGTAGGACCTGTGGGCGACACCGCCCCTGGATGGGCCTCTATGGGCGCCACCGCCCCTGGAAGGATTCCTGTGAGCACCGCCGCCCTAGGAAGGGTCCCTGGGAGCGCCGCCTCCCATGTGGTGGTCTCTGGGGCATCGCCGCCCCTAGGAGGGCATCTGGGAGCGACAGACATGTAGGTCCACTGGCTGCAGTACTTTTTGCGATATTAAGAACTCGGGGCGATGAAACGTTAAATAAATACACCGCCCATCACATTTCCAGTACTTTTTCACCCCAAACAATGTAATGGAGAATAATATTCAACAGCAATACATAAGTTGTGGTGTTGTGCTGACAGACTGATCTCTTCTCCTATTGGCTATAATTACGTGGATGAAAACAATAGTCCACCAATCACAGTTAAGTAAGATAATGCTGGAAATATGTAATATATATATGAGATAAGGACCAACTGTGCAGCCCTGGGGGAGCCCTTGGTAGGATCTTGGGAGGTCCCAGAGGCGCTGCCGCCCCAGGAGGGTCACTCCTGGTCAACGATGCCCCTGGATGGGTCTCGGGGCACCGACACCCCTGGGAGGGGTCCTGGAAGGAAACCTGGGAGCCCCACTGTCCCAGGTGCACCCCTGAGGGTTCCAGTGCCTTACCCGGCCATGGTGGCGCCGCCGTCCCTGGATGGTCCCTGGGTGCAGACATCCCTAGGAGGGTCCATGGTTTGCATCATTTTCTTGGAGAGCCCTGCAGGGCGCCAACGCCTTCATAGGGCTGTGCGGCGACACCGCCCCTGGGAGGGTCCCTGAGAGTGCCACCGTGCTAGAATGCTCCTGGCGTTGCTGCAGCCTTTAGGGGTCCCAGAGCGCCACCACCCATGTAAGAGTCTCTGGGGGCACCGCCCCTAGGAGGCCTTGGGTGAGCCAGACCTGTAGGTCCCTGGCTGCAGTAGTTTTTGCACTATTAAGAACTCTGGGCGATGAAACGTTAAATAAATAACCGTCCATCACATTTCCATACTTTTTCACCCCAAACAATGTAATGGAGAATAATATTCAACAGCAATACATAAGTTGTGGTTGTGCTGACAGACTGATCTTTCTCCTATTGGCTATAATTACGTGGATGAAAACAATAGTCCACCAATCACAGTTAAGTAAGATAATGCTGGAAATATGTAATATATATGACACAAAGATCAAGTATGCCATAGGGCTAATGGGGACATTGGTGGGTTCTGGGAGCGTCGCCGCCCATGTGGGGGTCTCCTGGGAGCGTCTTACCTGTAGGTCCTCTGCATGCAGTTTTTGTGCATTTAGAACTCTGGGCGATGAAACGCTTAAATAAATACACACACCCCCATCACATTTCCAGTACTTTTCACCCCAAACAATGTAATGGAGAATAATATTCAACAGCAATACATAAGTTGTGTGTTGTGCTGACTGACTGATCTCTCCTATTGGCTGTATGTTAAAACAATAGTCCACCAATCAAGTTCAGTAAGGGACTGCTGGAAATATGTAATATATAAGGCGAGATAGGACCAACTGTGCCACCACGGCCCCTGGGGGCCCTGTAGGATCCTGGGAGGGTCCCAAGAGGCGCTGCCGCCCTAGGAGGTCACTCTGGTCAACGATGCCCCTGGATGGGTTCAGGGCACCCACACCCTGAGGGGTCCCTGAAGGAAACCTGGGAGCCCCACTGTCCCAGGTGCACCCCTGAGGTTCCAGTGCCCCTACCCGGCCAGTGGTGGCGCTGCCGTCCCTGGGATGGCCTCGGGGCACATCCCTAGGAGGGTCCATGGGTTTGCATCATTTTCTTGGAGAGACACTCGTGGCGCCAACGCCTCTCATAGGGCCTGTGCGGGCGACACCGCCTGGGAGGGTCCCTGAGAGTACCACTGCTGCAAGAATGCTCCCTGGCTGCTGCAGCCTTTAGGGTCCCAGAGAGCGCCACCACCCATGTAAGAGTCTCGGGGCACCGCCAGCCCCTAGGGAGGGCTTTGGGTGAGCCAGACCTGTAGGACCCTGGCTGCAGTAGTTTTGCACTATTAAGAACTCTGGGCGATGAAACGTTAAATAAATACTCCGCCCATCACATTTCAGTACTTTTTCACCCCAAACAAATGTAATGGAGAATAATATTCAATAGTTAACACATAAGTTGTGGTGTTGTGCTGACAGACTGATCTTCCTATTGGCTATAATTACGGATGAATACAATAGTCCACCAATCACAGTTAAGTAAGATAATGCTGAAATATGTAAATATAATGACACAGCATCAAGTATGCCATAGGGCTAATGGGGGACATTGGTAGGTCTCTGGGAGCGTCGTTGCCCATGTGGGAAGTCTCTGGAGCGTCTTACCTGTAGGTCCTCTGATGCAGTAGTTTTGTTAGCATAAGAATCGCGATGAAACAAATACACGCCTACACATTTCCAGTACTTTTTCACCCCAAACAATGTAAATGGAGAATAATATTCAACAGCAATACATAAGTTGTGGTGTTGTGCTGACTGACTGATCTCTTCTCCTATTGGCTGTATGTTAAAAACAATAGTCCACCAATCACAGTTCAGTAAGGACTGCTGGAAATATGTAATATATATATGAGATAAGGACCAACAGGCACACGGCCCTGGGGGCCCTTGGTAGGATCCTGAGGGTCCCAAGAGGCGCTGCCCCCTAGGAGGGTCACTCTGGTCAACGATGCCCTGGATGGTATTCGGGCACTGACACCCCTGGAGGGGTCCCCGGAAGGAAACCCGGGAGCCCCACTGTCCCAGGGTGCACCCCTGAGGGTTCCAGTGCCCTTACCCGGCCAGTGGTGGCGCGCCGTCCCTGGATGGTCCCTGGGGTGGACATCCTCAGGAGGGTCCATGGGTTTGCATCATTCTTGGAGAGCCCGCTGGTCGCCAACGCCTCATAGGGCCTGTGCGGGCGACACCGCCCTGGGAGGGTCCCAGAGTGCCAATCGCTAAGAATGCTCCCCTGTTGCTGCAGCCTTTAGGGGGTCCCAGAGAGCGCCACCACCCATGTAAGAGTCTCTTGGGGCACCGCCAGCCCCTAGAGGGCCTTTGGGTGAGCCAGACCTTAAGTCCCTGGCTGCAGTACTTTTTGCGATATTAAGAACTCGGGGCGATGAAACGTTAAATAAATACACCGCCCATCACATTTCCAGTACTTTTTCACCCCAAACAATGTAATGGAGAATAATATTCAACAGCAATACATAAGTTGTGGTGTTGTGCTGACAGACTGATCTCTTCTCCTATTGGCTATAATTACGTGGATGAAAACAATAGTCCACCAATCACAGTTAAGTAAGATAATGCTGGAAATATGTAATATATATGACACAAAGATCAAGTATGCCATAGGGCTAATGGGGGACATTGGTAGGGTCTCTGGGAGCGTCGCCGCCCATGTGGGGGTCTCTGGGAGCGTCTTACCTGTAGGTCCTCTGGATGCAGTAGTTTTTGTGCTATTTAGAACTCTGGGCGATGAAACGTTAAATAAATACACCGTCCATCACATTTCCAGTACTTTTTCACCCCAAACAATGTAATGGAGAATAATATTCAACAGCAATACATAAGTTGTGGTGTTGTGCTGACTGACTGATCTCTTCTCCTATTGGCTGTATGTTAAAACAATAGTCCACCAATCACAGTTCAGTAAGGGACTGCTGGAAATATGTAATATATATATGAGATAAGGACCAACTGTGCCACACGGCCCCTGGGGGCCCTTGGTAGGATCCTTGGGAGGGTCCCAAGAGGCGCTGCCGCCCCTAGGAGGGTCACTCTGGTCAACGATGCCCTTGGATGGGTCTTCGGGGCACCGACACCCCTGGGAGGGGTCCCTGGAAGGAAACCTGGGAGCCCCACTGTCCCAGGGTGCACCCCTGAGGGTTCCAGTGCCCTTACCCGGCCAGTGATGGCGCCGCCGTCCCTGGGATGGTCCCTGGGGGTGCAGACATCCCTAGGAGGGTCCATGGGTTTGCATCATTTTCTTGGAGAGCCCCGCAGGGCGCCAACGCCTCTCATAGGGCCTGTGCGGGCGACACCGCCCCTGGGAGGGTCCCTGAGAGTGCCACCGTGCTAAGAATGCTCCCTGGCGTTGCTGCAGCCTTTAGGAGGTCCCAGAGAGCGCCACCACCCATGTAAGAGTCTCTGGGGGCACCGCCGCCCCTAGGAGGGCCTTTGGGTGAGCCAGACCTGTAGGTCCCCTGGCTGCAGTAGTTTTTGCACTATTAAGAACTCTGGGCGATGAAACGTTAAATAAATACACCGTCCATCACATTTCCAGTACTTTTTCACCCCAAACAATGTAATGGAGAATAATATTCAACAGCAATACATAAGTTGTGGTGTTGTGCTGACTGACTGATCTCTTCTCCTATTGGCTATAATTACGTGGATGAAAACAATAGTCCACCAATCACAGTTAAGTAAGATAATGCTGGAAATATGTAATATATATGACACAAAGACCAAGTATGCCATAGGGCTAATGGGGGACATTGGTAGGGTCTCTGGGAGCGTCGCCGCCCATGTGGGGGTCTCTGGGAGCGTCTTACCTGTAGGTCCTCTGGATGCAGTAGTTTTTATGCTATTTAGAACTCTGGGCGATGAAACGTTAAATAAATACACCGCCCATCACATTTCCAGTACTTTTTCACCCCAAACAATGTAATGGAGAATAATATTCAACAGCAATACATAAGTTGTGGTGTTGTGCTGACTGACTGATCTCTTCTCCTATTGGCTGTATGTTAAAACAATAGTCCACCAATCACAGTTCAGTAAGGGACTGCTGGAAATATGTAATATATATATATGAGATAAGGACCAACTGTGCCACACGGCCCCTGGGGGCCCTTGGTAGGATCCTTGGGAGGGTCCCAAGAGGCGCTGCCGCCCCTAGGAGGGTCACTCTGGTCAACGATGCCCCTGGATGGAATATTTAGGGCACCGACACCCCTGGGAGGGCCCTGGAGAAACCTCGAGGCACTGTCCCAGGTGCACCTGGTTCCCATGCCCACGGCCGGTGGTGGCACTTGCCCTAGAGATGGTCACCAGGGGGTGCAGACATCCTAGGAGGGTCATGGGTTTGCATCATTTTTCTTGGGAAACCCCATAGTATAACGCCTCTCATGGGGCCTGTGCGAACACGCCCTGGGAGGGTCCTGAGTACCGTGCTAGAATGTCCTGGCGTTGCTGCGGCCTTTAGGGGTCCCAGAGGCGCCTGCCATGTGGGGTCTCAGGGCACCACTTGGAGGGCCTTTGGGTGAGCCAGACTCAACAGGACCCTGGCTGCAGTAGTTTGCACTATTAAGAACTCTGGGCGATGAAACGTTAAATAAATACTCCGTCCATCACATTTCCAGTACTTTTCACCCCAAACAATAGCAATGGAGAATAATATTCAACAGCAATACATAAGTTGTGGTGTTGTGCTGACAGACTGATCTCTTCTCCTATTGGCTATAATTACGTGGATGAAAACAATAGTCCACCAATCACAGTTAAGTAAGATAATGCTAGAAATAAGTAATATATATGACACAAAGATCAAGTATGCCATAGGGCTAATGGGGGACATTGGTAGGGTCTCTGGGAGCGTCGCCGCCCATGTGGGGGTCTCTGGGAGCGTCTTACCTGTAGGTCCTCTGGATGCAGTAGTTTTTGTGCTATTTAGAACTCTGGGCGATGAAACGTTAAATAAATACACCGCCCATCACATTTCCAGTACTTTTTCACCCCAAACAATGTAATGGAGAATAATATTCAACAGCAATACATAAGTTGTGGTGTTGTGCTGACTGACTGATCTCTTCTCCTATTGGCTGTATGTTAAAACAATAGTCCACAAATCACAGTTCAGTAAGGGACTGCTGGAAATATGTAATATATATATGAGATAAGGACCAACTGTGCCACACGGCCCCTGGGGGCCCTTGGTAGGATCCTTGGGAGGGTCCCAAGAGGCGCTGCCGCCCCTAGGAGGGTCACTCTGGTCAACGATGCCCCTGGATGGGTCTTCGGGGCACCGACACCCCTGGGAGGGGTCCCTGGAAGGAAACCTGGGAGCCCCACTGTCCCAGGGTGCACCCCTGAGGGTTCCAGTGCCCTTACCCGGCCAGTGGTGGCGCCGCCGTCCCTGGGATGGTCCCTGGGGGTGCAGACATCCCTAGGAGGGTCCATGGGTTTGTGTCTTTTTCTGGGAGGCCCCTCTTGGCGCCAACGCCCCTGGTAGCCTGTGGGGCGACACCGCCCCTGGATGGCCTCTTATGGCGCCACCGCCCCTGGAAGGATTCCTGTGAGCACCGCCGCCCCAGGAATGGTCCCTGGGAGCGCCGCCTCCCATGTGAGGGTATCTGGGAGCGACAGACATGTAGGTCCCCTGGCTGCAGTACTTTTTGTGATATTAAGAACTCTGACGATGAAACGTTAAATACATACACCGCCCATCACATTGTAATTATTATTACAGCCTGAACAATGTAACGGAGAATAATATTCAACAGGAAAACATAAGTTGTTATGTTGTTCTGACTGAAAAAACTGGGGGTGGGTAGAAGGCACCAGGGGTGAGTGGAGGCACTGGTGGGGGCACCAGGTGGTGGAGGCTAGAGGGGGGGTGGAGGGCGCCAGGGTGGGTGGAGGGCACCAGGGTGAGGGAAGGGGCACTAGGGTGGGGTGGAGGGCACAAAGATGGATATACTAAGGGGTGGAGGGCACCAGGGGTGGAGGGCACCAGATGAGGGGGAGGGCACCAGGGGGTGAGGGCACCAAGATGGGACATGGAACTAAGGGTGGGTGGGAGGGGCCAGGGGTGAGTGGGAGGGCACAAGGATAGGTAGACAGGCCAGGGATGGGTGAGGGGCACCAGGGGTGGGGGAGGCACCAAGGGTGGTTAGACGCCAGGTGAGGGAGGCACCAGGGGTGGGTGGGAGGAGGCACAGGGGTGGGTGGAAGGCACCAGGGTGAGTGGGAGGGGCACCAGGTGGGTGGAGGGCACCAGGGTGAGTGGAGGGCACAAAGGGTGGGTGGAGGGCACCAAGGATGGGTAGACGGCACCAAGGAAATAGGAGTGGAGGGCACCAAGGGTGGAGGGCACGAAGAGTGAAGCACCAGGGGTGGGTGGGAGGCACCAAGGATGGGCAGACGGCAGGCACCAGGATGGGTGGAGGGCACCAGGGGTGGGGGTGGAGGGCACCAAGGATGGGTAGACGGGAACCAGGGGTGGGGAAGGCACCAAAGGGGGTGAGGTACCAAGGACGGCACCAGGTGAGAGACAGGCACCAGGTGGGTGGAGGGCACCAGGGGTGGGAAAGGTGGCGGAGGCCGCACCAAGGATGGTAGAGGCACCAAGGCGTGGGAGGAGTGGGGAGGCACCAGGGGTGGGTGGAGGGGCACCAAGGACGGTAGACGGCACCAGGGTGGGGGGAGGGCACCAGGGTGAGTGGAGGCACCAGGGTTGGAGGAGGGCACCAAGGACAGGGAGGCACCAGGGGTGAGTGAGGCACCAGGGGGTAGAGGCACCAGGGGTGGGTGGGAGGATGGGGAGGCACCAGGGGTGGGTGGAGAGGCAGCAGGGGTGGGGTGGAGGGCACAGGGGTGGAGGGCACCAGGGGTGGGTAGAAGGGCACTCAGAGGGGTGGAGGGCAACAAGGATGGGTATGGAGTGGACGGCACCAGGGGTGGGTGGAGGGCACCAGAGGTGGGGTGGGAGGGCACCAAGGATGGGTAGACACCAGGGGTGGGGGAGGGCACCAAGGATGGTAGACGGCACCAGGGGTGTGGGAAGGCACTCAGGGTGAGGCAACAGGGGTGGGTGGAGGGCACCAAGGATGGGTAGACAGGCACCAGGGGTGAGTGGGAGGCACCAGGGGTGGAGGCACCAGGTGGAGGGCAACAAAGGCTGAGGGAGGGCAACAAGGATGGTAGAGAGGCAACAGGGTGGGGTGGGAGGCACCAGGGTGAGGGGAGGGCAAAGGATGTGTACACAGACGGGACACCAGGCCAGGGGAGGGCACAGGAGAGGCACAAAGACAAGACACGCTAGGGAGGGAGGCACCAGGGGGTGTGGGAGGCACCAGGGTGTGTGAGGCACAGAGGTGGGTGGGAGGCACTAGCAGCCAGGCACCAGGTGTGAGGGAGGCAACAAGGATGGGATGGACCAGGTGTGGAGGCAAGGAAGGAGACACCAGGGGTGAGTGGGAGGACACCAGGGGTGTGGAGGGCACCAGGGGTGGGTGGAGGGCACCAAGGACGGGTGGAGGGCACCAGGGTGGGGGAAGGCACCAGGGGTGAGGCACCAAGGACGGGCAACAGGGTGAGTGGAGGCACAGGGTGGGTGGAGGGCACCAGAGGTGAGGCCATGACAGGTAGACGGCACCAGGGGGAGGAACCAGGACGGGTGAGAGGGGCACCAGGGGTGTGTGGGAGGCACCAGAGATGGGAGGCACCAGTGTGGGTTGAGAGGCACCAGGGGTGGGTGAAGGGCACCAAGGATAGGTAGACAGGCACCAGTAAGGCACCAGGTGGGTGGGAGGCACCAGGGTGTGGGGGCACCAGAGGTGGAGGAGGCACCAAGGATGGGTGGAGGGGCACCAGGGGTGAGTGGAGGGCACCAGGGTGGGTGGAGGCACCAGGGATGGGTGAGGGCACATGATGGGCAGACACACCAGGGGTGAGGGAGGGCACCAGAGGTGGGGTGGGAGGCACCAGGGTGAGGGGAGGCACCAGGATAGGTAGACAACCAGGGGTGAAAGAGGGAAACCAGGCAACAGGTGTGGGTGGAAAAGACTCAGGGGTGGGAGGCACCAAGCGATTGGTAACCAACAAAAAAACCAACACCAGTGGAGGGCACCAGGAAATAGGGTAGACGGCACCAGGGTGAGCGGGAGGCACCAGAATGGGTGGAAGGCACCAGGAGGGGGTGGAGGGCACCAGGGTGGGTGGAGGGTGAAAGGGACACCAGGGGTGGGTGGAGGGCACCAGGATGGAGTGGGCAGCAACAGGGGTGGATGGAGGGCACCAGGGGTTGGGTGGAGGCACCAGGGGTGGGTGGAGCACCAGAGATAGGTGGACGGGCACCAGGATGGGTGGAGGGCACCAGGGGGGTGGAGGGCAACAGGGTGGGTGGAGGGCACCAAGGATGGGTAAACAGGCACCAGGGAGGTGGAGGGCACCAGGGGTGGAGGGAGGGCATCAGGGGGGTGATGGAGGACACCAAGGTTGGGTAGACGGCACCAGGATGGGTAGAGGCACCAGGGGGGTGCGGAGGGCACCAGGGTGGGTGGAGGCCCAGGATGGGTAGAGCACCAGGGTGGGTGGAAGGCACCAGGGGTGGTGGAGGGCACCAAACAGCAGCACCAGGATGGAGTAGACGGCACCAGGGGTTCGTGGAGGGCACCAGAGGGTGGAGGCACCAGGATGGGTAGCAGGCACCAAGGGTGGACACCAGGATGCGTAGATGACCAAGAGTTGGTAGAGCACCAGAGTGAGTGGAGAGCACCAAGGATGCGTAGACAGCACCAGGGAGTGACACCAACACCACGGAGGCACCAAGGCAGGTAGACAGCACCAGGGGTGCGGGAGGCACCAGAGGTGCGTGGAGGGCACCAGAGGAGGGCACCAGGATGGTGTAAGGCACCAGGGGTGGGGTGGAGACACCAGGACGCGTGACACCAGAGGTGAGTGGAGAACCAGGGGTGCCTTGGAGGGCACCAGGAGGTGGAGGCACCAGGATGGGTGGAGGCACCAGGGGTGAGGTGAGGCTCAAGATGCGTGGAGCACCAGGGGTGAGTAGACAGCACCAGGGGTGAGTGGAGGGCACCAAGGAGAGTGGCACACCAGGGGTTGAGTGGAGAGCACCAAGTGAGTGGAAGTCACCAAGTTGCGGAGGGCACCAGGATGGGTGCAAGGCACCAGGGGTGGACACCAGAGGGAGCACCAGGGGGGTGGAGGGCACCAAAGATGGAGACAGCTCCAGGGGTGCGAGGAACCAGGGGTGGGTGGAGGGCACCAGGGGTGGTGGAGGCACCAGGGTGGTGGAGGGCACCAGGGGTGAGTGGAGGCACCAGGGCGTGGAGGCAAGCACCCAAAGACAGGTAGAGCAGCACCAGAGTGTTCCTAGACACCAGAACACCAGAATGAGTAGACAGCACCAGAATTAGTGGAGACACCCAGAGAGTGCGGGAAACCAGGGGGTAGCACCAGGACAGATGGGCAGCACCAAGAGGGGGAGGCACCAGGGGGGGGTGGAGGCACAGGGGTGGTGGAGGGCACCAGGGGGTGGGTGGAGGGCACAGGACGGGTGGAACCAGGGGTGGGAGAGCAAGGGGTGGGTAGGGCACCAGAGACGAGGAGGCACCAGGGGTGGGGAGGGCACCAAAGGTGGGTGGAGGGCACCAGGATGGGTGGGCAGCACCAGGGGTGGAGTGGAGGGCACCAGGGTTGGGTGGAGGCACCAGGGGTGCGTGGAGCACCAGAGGTTGTGGAGGCACCATGGATGGGTGGAAGGCACCATGGTTGGGTGGAGGCACCAGGGTGGGTGGAAGGCACCAGGATGGGTGACAGGCACCAGGGGTGGTGGCGGGCACCAGGGGGGTGGAGTGGAGGGCACCAGGGGGTGCGTGGAGGGCACCAGAGGTGGGTGGAGGGCACCAGGATGGTGGAGGCACCAGGGGGTCGTGGAGGGCACCAGGGTGGGTGGAGGCACCAGGGATGGGTGGAGGCACCAGGATGGGTGGACGGCACCAGGGGTGGTGGAGGACACCAAGAGTGATTGGAGGCACCAGGATGGAGTAGGGCACCAGGGGTGGGGTGGAGGGCACCAGGGGGTGAGTGGAGGGCACCAGGATGGGTGGAGCGGCACCAGGGGTGAGTGGAGGGCACCAGGGTGGGTGGAAGTCCAGGGGTGGGTGGAGGCACCAGAGTGTGTGGAAGGCACCAGGGGTGGGTGGATGGCACCAGGGTGAGTGGAGGGCACCAGGGGGTGGGTGGAGCAAGCACCAGGGGGTGAGCGGAGGGCACCAGAGTGGGTGGAAGGCACCAGGGGTGGGTGGAGGGCACCAGAGGTGGGTGGAGGGCACCAGGGATGAGTGGAGGCACCAGGATGGGTGGACGGCACCAGGGTGAGCGGAGACCAGGGGTGGAGGCCCAGGGAGTGGAGACAGGGTGGTGGAGGATAGGTAGACGGCACCAGGGGTGGGTGGAGGGCACCAGGGGTGGGTGGAGGGCACCAAGGATAGGTAGACGGCACCAGGGGTGGGTGGAGGGCACCAGGGGTGAGTGGAGGGCACCAAGGATGAGTGGGCAGCACCAGGGGGTGAGCGGAGGGGGCACCAGAGTGGGTGGAAGGCACCAGGGGTGGGTGGAGGGCACAGGATGGTGCTCGGCACCAGGGATGGGTGGAGACTCAGGGTGAGTGGAGAGCACTAGGGGTGGGTGGAGGGCACCAAGGATGGGTAACAGCACCAGGATGGGTGGGCAGCACCAGGGGTGGGTGGAGGGCACAAGGGGTGGTGGAGGCACCAGGATGGTAGGCGGCACCAGGAGTGGGTGGAGGCACTAGGGGTGGGTGGAAGGATGGTGTAGACGGCACCCAAGGATGGGTGGAGCAGCACCAGGGGGGTGGGTGGAGGGCACCAGGGGTGGGTGGAGGGCACCAGGATGGGTAGACAGCACCAAGGATGGGTGGAGCAGCACCAGGGGTGGGTGGAGGCACCAGTGGTGGGTGGAGGCACCAGGATGGGTGGGCAGCACCAGGGATGGGTGGAGGCACCAGGGGGGGGTGGAGGCACAGGGGTGGTGGAGGGCACCAAGGGGTGGAGTGGAGGCACAGGATGGGTAGACAGCACCAGGGGTGGGTGGAGCACTGGGGTGGGTGGGGCACCAGGATGGGTGGAGCACCAGGATGTGGGCGGCACCAGGGGTGGGTGGAGGGCACCAGGGGGTGGGTGGAGGGCACCAGGATGGTCAGACAGCACCAGGGGTGGGTGGAGGGCACCAGGGGTGGGTGGAGGGCACCAGGATGGTGCAGCACCAGGGATGGGTGGAGGGCACCAAGAGGTGAGAGGAGGCACCAGGGGTGTGGAGGGCACCAGGATGGTGGGCAACCAGGGGTGGGTGGAGACACCAGGGGTGGGTGGAGGCACCAGGATGAGTATACGCACCAGGGATGGGTGGAGGGCACCAGGGGTGAGAGGCACAGAGATGGTGGAGGGCACCTGGGATGGATGCAGGCACCAGGGGGGTGGATGGAGGGCACCAGGGGGTGGTGGAGGGCACCAAGGATGGGTAGACGGCACCAGGGGGTGGAGGAGGGCACCAGGAATAGATTAAGGAAGGCACCAGGGGTGGGTGGAGGGCACCAGGGGTGGGTGGAGGGCACCAGGATGGTGGGCAAGCACCAGGGGTGGGTGGGCACCAGGGGGTGAGTGGAGGGCACCAGGATGGGTGAAAGCAATACGTGGCCA